GAGTAATTTGCAATCATCTAACAATGTTGAGTTTTATATACAGACTATCGTCAATATTGAGCTCATTCGCCACATAAATATGCCTAATATATATATATATACATGGGGTGTCAAAAGCACGTTTTTCCCATGACACGGCTTTTATTTTAACCACCCTTGCTCTTAGTCCATTGCTTTAAAAATGATTAGAATTGTAGCATGTAAGTGAATTTATATATATATATATATATATATATATATATATATATATATATATATATATACTGTTCTTGAGAAATTAAAACAAAAATATTAAATACTAATTATTTATTTATTAGATTGTTTATTTACAATAATACAATAATAACTTTATATCTACAACATTATAAAAACTAATGCAAGTGTATTAAGATTAATGCAATATTTATTATTTAGCAATTTATAAAGAAATAAATATGAAAAAAACTTTATTCATAAATTTAAAAGCATTGATTAAATTATTAAAATATGTCTAACAATTATGAGTAAATACTTATTATTTACCATTTCATAATGTTCGAATCAATTGGCAATTATCCGTTGTCTTACCAATTTTTATTTATAAACAATATAATAAATAAATAAATAATCTAATAAATAGTATCTCTTTATATTTCTGAGATGAGGTATTATGTACACTATTTACATTATTCGAACTATTGCCTTATCTTTGTTACCATATTTATTACAACGTTTCTGCCGTTATAAGCTTCGGCCTTCTTCAGGTGACTGGAATGTCGAACTGAACCCTTTATTTCGCTCACTCGGGTAGACTGTTCGCTTCACGTGCCATATTCAATGGATGTCAGTTATCTCCTGTTAATCCCCCTTTAGAGGTTCTCCACTGCCTTAACCAGGTATTGAACTCACACTCTTTGGGTCCTGTCACTGGATCTAACCAATGACTTTATCCACTGTGGCATGTGTCCTTGAGAAAACGTTGTGATAAACATGGCGACAAAGATGAGGACAATAGTCCGAATAATGTAAATAGTGAAATAAATAATATTTATTATTTTTTGTTGTCAATTCTCAAGAAAATAAAATGTATAAATTCATGTTCATAGATGACACACTGGGTTTTATAGCCTTGGACAGCAACTGGTCTACGAAAATAAAAACTGTGAATGCAAAACCTGCGGAGGGTCGTTTGTGGACCTTGTGGCACGTAGTGCACCAGGTCTCTGTATTCGGCCCTTTAAAAAAGTGTGGATAATTCTGCACAAAACCTTTACATCATATGGGCTTGTGTGTGGCCGTAGGTTCCCTAGGAACTGAGCTGTTTGACCCTCATACGCCGAATTCGACGAGAGAGTCGATATATATATATATATATATATATATATATATATATATATATATATACGATAAACGTGCAATCAATTTACAAATACATGAATTATTCACACAAACACTAATGCAAAGGTTAATGATTTAAATGGCGAGACATCCATCATCGCAAACAATTCAAATAATATACAAAAACCTCCGTATCCGTTATGAATGAAATGATACTTGTTTATATAAATTTCTGCTGTTTAAGGTCTTATTTTTACTACAAGCTTTCGTCTGTTCCTACAGACATCTTCAGGTATAGAATAGATGTTGTTCTTGTTTTTTCTCTTAGTAAATCATTTAAATCATTAACCTTTGCATTAGTTTTTGTGTGAATAATTCATGTATATATATATATATATATATATATATATATATATATATATCATTTGGTTGTTAGTAGGGATAATTCCAAGGAGGATATTTAATCTAAAGAGAGCTCAATGTAAGAACAGAGCAATAAAATAATAATGAATACAGAATCCTTAAAAATCCATTCGCTTATAATTTATTTTTTTATCTTTCTTCATCTTTTAATATTAAAACTTTTTGCTTTTTTCCTCTCCCTTTTCCCTTCGTCTGAAGAGATGAATGTAAATTCATGAAATAAATTATAACCGAATAATGTGTGTGCTTGCATGTGTGCGTGTGTGTGCTTGCATGTGTGCGTGTGTGTGCTTGCATGTGTGCGTGTGTGGTTTCATTTGATAGGTTTTTTAAGCATTTCACCCCCAAGCAAGGCGGGATGCCACTAGTACGCAAGGGGTTACAGAATGGCAGCGAGATTAAAGAGGCGTGATGGAGGAAAGGATGAAGAGAAGGACAGGGAATAGGTCTGGGCATCTGGAGATGTCGATTGAAATTACATTTGAATAGTTGGAGATTATAGCTATCAGGGAAACAAGTAATTGGAAGGGAATTCCACAAACGGGAGGTGCGAGACATGAAGCTATTGGAGTAGAAGAGACAGCCACATTTAACCGTTTCGACAATGAAAGGGTGGGACTCTGATGCCAGCCTAGTAGCACGCTTAAATTCATACAGTCTGGAAACTAGCGAAAGTAGGTCGTCGGAGCAGTTACCGTGAAAGTATTGGTAGAAAAGACAGAGGGAGGCGACGGTACGTCTGTGAGAGAGCGACTGTAGACTAGATGCGAGATCAGGATCAACCACATTGCATATCCTTCTCTGGATCTTGTCAAGGGCCTTAAGGCAAACAGCGAGGGCACCTGATCATATATGGCAGCAGTATTCCATGCAAGGGCGAACGGTTCATTTATAGATTTGAAGGATAGACTCAGGCGAGAAAAACTTTTCGGCGCGACACAGGGAACCAAATTTCCTTGCGATGGATGAAGTAATTGATTCAATGTAATTGTTCCATCTTTGGTCAGCGGACAGTGTGATACCAAGCAGTCACAAAGAGGTGCTCTCGTAGAGTTGAGCATCAGACATTCTAATGGGCGGCAGCGATGGTTCCCTGTGGTGAGTAATAGAGAGCAGTTTTGTTTTAGAGGCATTAAAGTTAACCAGCCAATTCTTGCCCCACTCTAGAACCGAATAGACTGACATTGAAATCGACCAAGAGCTTTAAATAATTTATCTGCGGTGAGTAATCATTCCCGAAGCGATGTGTAATGATTTTCCAAGCTTAGCTTAGATGTGGCACAGGGCCGAAATTAGGGGCACCCAGTGAGAATCGAACTCACTACTCACTCGTAATTGTTCTAGTAAGACAAGATTGCTAACCATTACACCACATCGGGGTGCCTATAGATATGTATATAAATTCTCAGACGATAAAATAAAGACGTAAAGAAGGGTTTATAATTAGAGATACCATGCTACGACCCACTCAGAGAGACTGTTTAAAAAAAAAAACTTCTCTGTAAAGATTTTCTTTAGAGTCTGCAAAAGTTTTAACCACTGCCAAGGTCTTAAAGTGTTTGCGAAACTTCATGCAAACTGCCTTAAGTACGGAACATTTTTATTTGCATACAACGATAAAAGTGTGATTGGCTCTTGAAAGTCGGTATATATGGAGATAGCCATAGCCAGAAGGCAATTTGATGCAGATCACTTTAGAAAATTTTCATCAAGTTTCAGTTATGATATATAACTTTATTTTCATTCACATGGGCACACGGACACACAAACATATCTCTATTTGCATATGTACACCCTTGTGCAAATTAATTGAAAAAAAAGAATTCTGTTTTTATTTACTTTTTGTCGTACTTTTACAATGAAAACATGACCCAGTGCACATGTTACCATGCTCATTCCATGAAGTCGTTCCTTGCAGATTGACCACAAATTCTCGATTGGATTTAAAACAGGAGAGTTTTCGAGCCAGTCGATAGTACTTTGATTTGATCACTGGTAAGGCTTGCCATTGTGTTCGTGCAGCGTTACAATTTCCATATGCTTCCTTGGAGTAACGTTCATCGCAGACAATGGCCGTAGGGCAATTACTCGACAGTCGAGACAATACGGTCTGGGCGTGATAAAAATATGTTCATCATACACCCCAAAAACAGATTCATATTACGACACACCACTGCAAATGACCTAATCTGAGGAAAAATAGAAATCAATTACAGCCTGTCACTCCAGTGGATCTAAAAGTGACCGTGTGATGAAAAAAAGGAAAATAAATCGGCTGTTTCAATTAATTTGTACAAGGGTGTATATATATATATATATATATATATATATATATATATATATGTGTGTGTGTGTGTGTGTGTGTGTGTGTGTGTATTTATGTGAGTGTGTGTGTGATCTGAAGATTACTGGAAGTGTGTAGCTGACAGGTGGTAACTACGTAGTGTTTATTTTTGTCTATACTGTTTCTTTTATATCTATAAATGCGCTCACATATTGAGTATTCTTCCCCCATATATATATATATATATATATATATATATATATATATATATATAAAGAGAGAGAGAGAGAGAGAGAGAGAGAGAGAGAGAGAGAGAGAGAGATGAAATTAATCCCTCCTTATACTCTACCATGTCTCTTTAACTATCCCTTTTACACTCCCTGTTAAATTACAAAAACTTATACTACCCATCAATTTTTATTTCATTTTTCGTTTCATTTCATTTTTGGAAGTGCTATCTGATGATCCGGCGTCCTTTAAAAGGGCTCTGGTGAAATAAATTATTATAATGGTACCTTAAAGTGGTCTGTTTTTCTTTTAAATATTAGCTCTGGATTTCCATTGAGCTCTCAGGATTTCATCCTCCTTGGTATTACCCATACGGATTACCAAGTTCTTCATGACTTAATTAATTATATATATATATATATATATATATATATGTGTGTGTGTGTGTGTGTGATCTGAAGATTACTGGAAGTGTGTAGCTGACAGGTGGTAACTATGTAGTGTTTATTTTTGTCTACACTGTTTCTTTATATATAAATGCTCTCACATATTGAGTATTCTCCCCCCACACATGCTATATATATATATATATATATATATATATATATATATATAGCATGTGTGTGTGCGGTTTCATCTATGTAGCCTATATAATAGTATTGAAGTAGACGAAGAATTTGGGATAATTTAGCTTCAAAGACTGATCGATCGTCATAGAGAAATTATTTTCATGCCGACTTCATTTTACCTGTTTATGTCATTGGAACGGAGGACGGGATTCCAAGCCGCGATAAAGGGTAAGATGAATAGCAAGGGAAAAATATATTGTAGCGATGCCATCACAACTTCAGGTCGGAAATCTGAAAGAACAAAATAAACAGATTTTCTTGTAAAATTATGTCAACTATATCTCATGTTCAAATATCAAGGTTTTATTTAATCTTATTAAAATCCGAATTAAACAAGAACTTGATACAATACAATGTTTTAATTATTCGGACTATTGTCCTCATCTTTGTTGCCATATTTATTACAACGTTTCGGCCGTTGTACGCTCCGGCCTTCTTCAGGTGGTTGGAATTTCGAACTGAACCCTTTATTTCGCTCACTGGGGTAGACTGTTCTAGTTCCACATGCCATATTTAATGGATGTCAGTTATCAGTTATCTCCTGTTAATTTCCCTCTGAAAGTCCCCGACTGCCTTAACCGGGTATTGAACTCACACTCTTTGGGTCCTGTCACTAGATCTAAGTAACGTCTTTATCCACTGTGCCATGTGTCATCGAGTAACAAATATGACGACAAAGATGAGGACAATAGTCCGAATAATATAAATAATGTAAAGAACAATTATATTAAATGATAGTTACAGGAAATGCAAAATTCTTTATTGCAATAAAAATATAAAAATTAAAATAGGAAATACACAAATCACACTCTTTGAGTCTTGTCATTAGATCTAACTAAGGTCTTTATCCACTGTGCCATGTGTCCTTGAAATATAGACAGATACTGATTTAAAATAAAAATATCACTGCTAAAGATTTCTCAAGTTCTTATAATATGGCTCACACAATACAAGACTCGAGAAGCACTTATGCTTTCTGTTAATATTGTTATGTTGAATGAAGTGTGTGATATGAATGAAATAGGTAGTGGTAGAAAGGGAAAAGGAATATAATGAGGATATAATGAACATATTAACACGTGACTTGAAATAATTAACTTTTTAACATTCAGAGAAGTATTCACGCGGGAATAAAGTAGTAGTTCTTACGAAAATATTTTCTTATATTTTGTGTACGGGGGAAATGCGGATGATTCGATTTCGTGAAAGTAGCATGGCGTGTCTTTGTTGTAAAAGTTTTAAGTTTTTTTAGTCAGTTCACCCCAAGCAAAGCGACTATGCCACTAGGATGCAATGGATTACTGAAAGTGAAAGAGCTGAAATAGGAATAAACGTCTATTTATGATCAAGAAACTGGAGGAACTGAGAAATTAATTTCATCTGAATATTTTCTATAGAAATAACAGTAGAATAGCGATAGGCCTTCGACGTTGCGTCTGAGGGTAATAGGTTGCTGAGTGTCGATTAATTTTTACTTGTTTTTTCTTATTTATTTGCTTATTTTTTTATTTTTTATTTCTTATTTACTTTTACTTGTTTTTTCTTATTTATTTGCTTTTTTTATTTCTTATTTATTTTATTTTGGATATTGTTATATACTCTATTCGGTTTTTGAGTAACGTAGGCATTTTATTTTATTTAATCGTTATATAGCAGTTATAACTATTTTCTCGTCCAATTCTATTCTAACGGTTATTTTGGCGGGATTGGTTTGTTGATTTGTTTATTATTTCCTTTATTTATTCGGATTGATTATTTTTACTTGTATTTTATGTATTTATTTTCTATTTTTATTTTTTCTATTTCGACTATTCTAACAAATTTTTACTACGTTACGTAAAAATGGAAAAAACTGAAAAGAATAAACAAAAATAAAAAAATAATATGAAAAATGAGCAAAATTAATTATCTCTGGCAAATAATAAACAAATTAACAAACTCCTTCCGTTAGAATTGACGAAATAGAACAAATAAAAATAGAAAATAAATACATAAAATACAAGTAAAAATAATCAATCCGAATAAATAAATAAATAAAGTAAACAATAAACAAATCAACAAACCAATCCCGTCAAAATAACCGTTAGAATAGAATTCAACAATCAATCCTAAAATTGGACGAAGAATAATAGCTATAACTGCTATATAACGATTAAAAATTGACTACGTTATTCAAATAGAGTGTATATAAAAATATACAAAAAAAGAAGAAATAAAAATAAAAAATAGGCAAATAAATAAGGAAAAAAACAAGTAAAAATTAATCCAAAATAAATAAATGAACAAATTACAAACCGCTCCCGCTAAAATAACCATTAGAAGTAATAAAAATAAACATAAATAAGTATAATAAGCGACCTAAGCAAATCCCCGCAAAATCTTTTACCACGTTAATAAAAAAGAGAAAACCGAAAAGAATAGTTAAATGTATAAAATAAAAAATGAAAAGAAAAAAAAGTAAAATAAATTAACCCAAATAAATAAACAAGCCACTCCCACCAAAATAACCGCCAGAATGGATTAACCACAACGACCCACTGACACATATATATAAATAGTCGAGGAAAAATCCAACACTCGCGGCCTGATGATTACGTCTAGCATGAAACAGTCTGTCGCCTCTGAGTGTTGACTTCAATGTTCACTTTTATATTCATAAATATATATATATGTGTGTGTGTGTGTGTGTGCGTGTGTGTGTGTGAGTGTATAAATTGTATATGCTTATATAAAGGCATGTTACACATAGGACGACCGTTTTTTGCGCTGTAAGATGTGACAGGTGCCTACAAAAACATAGCCTTCATGTCTTCATCACACTCTATCTTTCTACCATACGCCTTTCCTCCATTACACCCTTTCCTTCTCAAGGCAGCAGTGGACAAAGAGTTTGATTAGAGCCTGTAACTGCAAAAATCATCAGCAGCTAGTGTGAACTGACGGACCCCAACATGACAGTTCGAAAATTTTAAGAAGCGCCGATTAGACGACAGCAGCCAATCAAAAGACGGAATTATGGCGTCAAAGAAGGGCGACTACGAGGGGAAAATATAGTCAGTTGCGTAGATGGATTGAATCCGTGCAGACGTCGTCATGGTCTACACAAGAAAATATCTGGTAGGACGAAAAATCAGAAATATGATATATCCCGGCTATAAAAAGGCAATGAAGCATAAAAATTGAAAAAAAAAATTCATCTTTCAGCAACTCCGGAGACGAGAAAAGAAAATCTTCCATACAAAAATATCACAGATGACTTGCTGAATAGAATCAAGTGGAATGGAATTGGAACTCCCGGACAAAATCTCAAGAGATAAATTATAAGGGAAGAAAGATATATCGGAAGAAAAGAGAGAGAAGGAAAATATTGCCCTGAAAGAACTTTAGAAAAGGAAAAAAAAGAACTTGGAAACAGATAAGTTCATTCATCCCCACCCCATAGTTTTTCCAGTATATATCTATATATTAATAACGTATTCAATGCATTCACCATTGCATGAAGATATTAAGGTTCCTCAAATTGATTGAACATATTTATTCATTCAACATTGGTAGATGTTGTAACTGGAATTTATTTTGATCATCTCTTCAAGACTTGGTTATTTATTTCCTTTTCTTTTCTGTTATTATTAAAATTGTTAATCTAATCATCGTGTTGTCTCGTTCCTGAGAGTCGATCTGTTAAATTCCGCCTTCACTCTACATGTGTTCGAAGAGGCTTAGAGATTAGTTGTTGGTAGTAGTCGGTTTCCTCAACCAAGAATTCTACACATTTTGGATTTTAATATTGGTTGCATGTTACTTTGGCCGGTACCGTTTTCTGCTTTTATGCAGGATAAATCAGGTCTATTCAAATTAATTTAATTAACTGGACCTTAATCTAAATAGAATAAAAGTCGGTGTTACTATAGTAAAACTTAAGCATCTGTTTTTGGTCAAAGTCTTATAGTCAGTGGGGACATTTATAGAAGGAGTGGAAGGGTTGGGTAAGAACATATATATACATATATATATATATATATATATATATATATATATATATATTAAAGACATTTTTTTTTATTGAGTTTATATATCTTCCTCTGCAAATAGTGAATGATCCTTTACAAAAATGGCAGTTGTTGATATACGAAATTTCAAAAGCATTTATAACGATATTCTGTGCTATTGAGCTTGTTCATATTTCTCTCTGAATTGTGAATGCAATGTTCCTTTTTTGAAAGGGGGTGGATTTCGTACGTCAAAAACTGTCTTCGTAATGAAGGATCATTCGCAATTTGGAGAAGATGTACAAATTCAATAGACACAAAATTTCGATAGTCTTTGATAAGACATGCTTGCAGGAACAACTACTGTCTCATTGCGTATAACTCATTGATTTCTGTTTTTTCGCGCTGTTAACTTTATGGATTGTAGAGTTTAGAAACCCAGAGTGTCATGATAAAAAGCACCAATAATTGCATAAAGTAAAGTTAATAGAGGTGTTGATTATAAAGTCAGGAAAATGTATTCTTTACTGGAGAGCACTTAAATGTTCTTAGCCTGTGCAAGAAGAGATGTCTGAAAGAATTCTAGTATTTGTTCATTTGGTTTGATTTGATGATGTGGATCGAGCCGAAGAATTTATATTTGTATTTTCTAGGCATGACAGTCTTCGACTAATGTTTCCCTCTCACACAAGTTTGTCTGAAATCTATGATTTAACAAAATAACTTTATTTTTGTTTTGTTTTAAATAGGATGTGAGAATAAAGATAATTTTCCATTTGAGATATATTGGGTTATCTTTCGACTTATTCAACTTTCGTGACCCGTAAGGTCGTGGGGGCACAATGTTTACTGAAGCCGCAGTGGAAATTGTTTTTCTCGGGCAAGATAGTCTGATAGAGCCCAACACTCTCCAGGCTGGTTTTGAAATCAGAGTTTTTTCCTTCTACTGGACCGGTTGCCATCCAAGGTTATAGAACCCAGTCTGTTCTCCTATTTACCCATAGCTTGGGGGAGAAGTGGATTCATACTTTTCCCAAGGGTATTAGCACGAAAGTGAATGTAGTCCAACTCTACCAAATGTCAACTCCAGAAAAAAAAAAAAGATTAAATCCATAAAAAAAATATCACGTTTTCTACTGCCATGAATCATAATGATTCTATTGAATCAATTACTAAGTCTGCTGATGAAAAGGTTTGTTCACTGTGTTATTCCAGGCAATTT